ATCTAGCTATTTTGAAGGAAACGACATTTCACATTTTTAAATAGCTAATCTAATAAATTTTGTAGTATACCTGATATTTGAAGTTTAATACCTTAATGTAGTAAAAAGAAATTTTATATCCAATCTGGTTTATACACCAATGAGGAATTGAATTAGTTATGGGTATTAACTATTGAGATTAACTAATGAGTTGATTTTTGTATCAATTACTTGAAACAATGGTATATGAGATACATAAGTAAATGGGTAAAAATCAATTTTGGAGAAATTTATAATTTTCAATACAATTTATATTTGTAATGCCATTTTTAATTGTTCATATGTTATGTGATATTTGATATTGAGTATGTATCGAGAAAGAATGAACACCACTAAGCAAGATTTGCTAAGTGCGTTGGATTTTTGTCCTTTGCGTAGGTACCTAATCGATAAGGAGACACAAAGTTCAAGGAGGAAAGCATTTGGAAGCAATCTGCCAATCAGCACAGAGTCACACTTGCATATTAGTAATATTTCATTTTAGTCTGCATAATAAAAATGTATTCAGCATATTAATATAATGTAATAGCAACATTAAATATTTACGTGTTAATATAAAATTTGAATGCTTCCGCAAATATGATTTTTTTTAAAGTTATTATCATTCGCTCGTCTTAAAAATAAAAGTATTTTTGGAATAATGAAAAAGATAATGGAAAAGTCAGTCAACGCTTTGGTGCTCCGGCACTGCGGGTAGCGCTTCCTGCCCTAGCCTTCCGGGCCGGGTAGGGGGTGTTACATTATATAATATTTTTGGAATATTTATTCTAAGTTGGGATTACTCTATTTCTTATACTTATGATATTATAATAGTAATAATTAAAAGTAATATTATTTATTATTATAACCATATGTAATAATTTAATCTATAAAAATACCTATTTATTTTTTCATTAGCTCATACAACCCAAGTTCGAATCCCCTCCTTGGCAGATTTTTGTAGTTCGTGAGTCTACAGCTCTATATCTATTTTAAACTTCTAAGATTATGCTTCCAATACCGGAAAGTGAGGACAAGGTACCCTGCTATCCATCTATAAAGCCGCTCATCTTCCTTTAACTGTCACGGCATAAGTGTTGGGAATAACAGGATCGTGCTAATATGAGAGAAAAACACTTCTATTACTTTCAAGAATAGAAAGAAGAGACATACAAGCTCTAATTAAAAACTCTCAAAACAACACCTCACATATCTCTCAAGGATATTCACAACTCTTCCTGGTTGTGCTATGATGATCTATTCTAATTTACTTGATGATAGAAAGACTCTCCAAGCTCTCTATTTATAGCACCAAAACTAGGTACTATGAAGGTGGGAGGAAGGTGGGATTAAACATGAGGAAACTTTGAGGAAGCTCCCTTTGTCATTCTTGCACATGGATGAAGCTTCATGGTTGTTGCTTGCACATGGAGGAAGCTTCATGGTTGTTGCAATTGGATTCTTCAATTTGCTTGTACTTGGATATGTCCTGGAAATTGAATTATTCAATTCTCCCCTTCCAGGCATATTCAAAACAAGCATCCCGACTATGTCTCTGCATAGCTCTAGCTTATCTCGTGTCACCACCTTTGTCAGCATGTCTGATGGATTCTCCTTTGTATTGATCTTCACTAGTCTCAACAGTTGTTGATCAATCGTCTCCCGTATCCAATGATATCGAATATCAATATGCTTTGTACGAGAATGGTACATAGAGTTCTTGCTCAAGTCTAGAGCACTCTGACTGTCACAATGTACCTGGTACTCTTTCTGGTGGATCCCAAGTTCTTGGAGAAAGCGCTTTAGCCACAACATTTCCTTACCTGCTTCAGCGGCAGCAATGTATTCTGCTTCTGTTGTAGATAAAGCGACACACTTCTGCAATCTTGATTGCCAAGAAACAGCTCCCCTGCAAAAGTGTAGATATATCCTGTAGTAGACTTTCTACTATCAATATCTACGGCCATATCAGCATCTGTGTAGCCTTCCAAGTTTGGATCAACTCCTCCGTAACAAAGACATAACTTCGTGGTACCTCTCAAGTATCTGAGAATCCATTTGACTGCCTCCCAATGCTCCTTCCCAGGGTTAGAGAGAAAACGACTTACTGTACCCACTGCTTGTGCGATGTCTGGCCTTGTGCATACCATGGCGTACATCAAACTCCCAACTGCCGAAGAATATGGAACTGCTAACATCTCCCCGATGTCTTCCTTGGATGTAGGGCATGTTCTTTTGCTCAACTTGAAGTGATTCGCAAGTGGAACACTAACTGGTTTAGCATCATTCATGTTGAATCTCTCAAGTACTCGTTCAATGTACTTCTCTTGAGAAAGCCATAACTTGCGATTCTTCTTGTCTCGAGTGATCTGCATCCCAAGAATCTGTTGAGCCGGTCCTAAGTCTTTCATATCAAAAGACTTAGAGAGTTCTTTCTTCAGCTGGTTTATCATCACTGCATCTTTCCCAACGATCAACATGTCGTCTACATATAGTAGAAGAGCAATGAAAGTACCGTCTGGGAGTTTCTTGATGTATACACACTCATCTGCAGTAGTCTTCTTGTAGCCTTGACTCTTCATGCATGAGTCAAACTTCTTATTCCACTGCCTTGGTGCCTGCTTCAAGCCATACAAACTTTTAGATAACTTACACACAAAGTTATCATTTGAGCTCTCAAAACCTTCCGGCTGCTGCATATAGATTTCTTCTTTCAAATCTCCGTGAAGAAATGTTGTCTTCACATCCATCTGTTCAAGCTCCAAGTTCATACTTGCTGCCAAGCCAAGTATAACTCGGATTGAGGTCATCTTGACAACTGGTGCAAAGATCTCATCAAAGTCAATTCCCTTCTTCTGTTGGAATCCTTTGACAACCAACCGAGCTTTGTGTTTCACCACTTGTCCGCTTGCATCCTTCTTCAGCTTGAACACCCATTTGTTCCTCAGTGCCTTCTTCCCTTTAGGAAGTTCTACAATCTCATAAGTTTGATTTTTCTGCAGAGATTCTAACTCATCCTGCATTGCTATTAGCCATTTTTCTTTATCCTTATGAGACACAGCTTCTTGAAAACTCTCCGGTTCTCCATCTTCAGTTAACAAAAGATATTCAGATGATGTGTACCTTTTCGATGGTATATGGCCTCGTTCAGATCTACGAACAGTTGTGAAGTAGTACCTGTGGGGAGTAACATGGTAGGATGTTGCAGTATCTACCACCCATTCAGTGTCCTCTCTTGAGACGTGCAGGCATGTTTCATCATTGCTAGTACAATACGCCACATCACCTGAGATTGTGATGAGCGCTTCACCACCCTTGTTCTTCGCTTGAGAATTGCTCTTGCCTCGCTCCTCTAGCAATTTGTAGCAATTCTTCTTCATGTGACCCTCTATACCGCAATGGTGGCAGGTATAAGAAGGTTTCCGGCCATCTGATGATCTCCCCCGACTTTTGCCTCTGCTTTGCCACTTTCCTCTACTGTTTCTTTGTTGCTTTCCTTGTGATCTTCTTCGATTCTCCGTCACAAGAGCATGAGTCTGATCTGTGCTCATGTCTTTCCTCCTTGCCTCCTCATTGAACAATGCATCCTTGACCACAGACATGGTAAGTTTGCCATCTGGGGCTGAGTTGCTGAGAGTAACAACTAGTGTCTCCCAACTATCAGGAAGGGAACTAAGAAGTAGTAGAGATTGCATTTCATCTCCAAGTGGCATTTCTACACAAGATAGTTGATTTACCAGACTCTGAAACTGACTAGTATGTTCGGCAACAGAAGTTCCACTTTTGAGCTTCATATTGACAAGACGCCTCATCAGTAGGGCCTTATTCCTGGCGGTCTTGGCCTGGTACATATCTTCTAGCTTCTTCCAAAGGGCATAAGCGTCGGTTTCTTGTGCAACGTGGTGGAAGACACTATGATCAATCCATTGACGGATTTGACCAATAGTTTTTCTATTTATTTTCTTCCACTCTATTGATTTGGGTGGGTCAGGATTAATACCTTTCATCTCTATTGGATCAAAAAGGTCTTTACAGCTAATAAAATCTTCCATCCGAGGTTTCCATAGCGTGTAGTTGGTAGCCGTGCGCATAATCATAGCTCCAGAAGATGAAGTTGACTCGTCAAAGGTCATTTTCACCTTCTAAATAATTTTAATATTCTGTTTGAGAAAAATCGGAGCAGAATTTTGAAAAACGGGCAGCACCGTTGCGTCCGGAACGGCCAAAAATGGTGGGTAGACACTTTCGGGTCAAAATACAATTTTCGAAAAGTTATAGGTGGAAATTATAATTTTCCAAAAATTGAGGGGCCTAACTGCAATTTTTCAAAATTTAAAAACTGACCGGTGACATGGCAGATGACATGGCAGATGACGTGGCGCTAACTGGGCGTTGACGTGGCAGCTGACTGGACGCTGGTGGAAGATGACAGTGAGCTGATGATGTGGCGGATGTGCACTCGTGGCGCTGATGTGTCGCTGATACAACTCTGACTGGCTGATGACGTCAGCGATGACGTCAGCTGTCTTCAACCTATGGCCTGCGTGCAGAATGACGTCAGGGATGACGTCAGCGAGCTCCTCACCACCGGCGCGTGTGGTGGCTTCCGGTGGCCTAAAAATTACCAAAAATACCAGTTTTTCTCGTCTCGACGAGATGAATCTAACGGTGTATTCAGATTGCAATTCCGAGCAAAACTGAAAAACACGAATTTTCAGACAGTAGAATTTTATCAGAAAATTCTGGGGAAAAAATACCAAAAGCTCAGCCAGGATCTGATACCACTTGTTGGGAATAACAGGATCGTGCTAATATGAGAGAAAAACACTTCTATTACTTTCAAGAATAGAAAGAAGAGACATACAAGCTCTAATTAAAAACTCTCAAAACAACACCTCACATATCTCTCAAGGATATTCACAACTCTTCTTGGTTGTGCTATGATGATCTATTCTAATTTACTTGATGATAGAAAGACTCTCCAAGCTCTCTATTTATAGCACCAAAACTAGGTACTATGAAGGTGGGAGGAAGGTGGGATTAAACATGAGGAAACTTTGAGGAAGATCCCTTTGTCATTCTTGCACATGGATGAAGCTTCATGGTTGTTGCTTGCACATGGAGGAAGCTTCATGGTTGTTGCAATTGAATTCTTCAATAAGACAATTAGCACAAATGCAAGGTTTGCGATTAAAAGCCTAAGCTTTGGAGTCAATCTCGAACACTTAGAATAATTTTGAGCTCGAGTTCGAGCATATGTGAGTTCGGACTCGAATCGGCTCATTTGCACCCCTAGTTCAGATCAGATCATGACTTAATCAGATCAGATCAGCAAATTTCAATCCAGATAAAAATATTCTAAGTAGCGCATCTGAAAATTATTGCACTTTAAGACTTAAGATTCTTGGTTTCCGGAACTACCTGAACAGATTTTGATAATGTCAGCCCATCCATTCTTGTTCCTTTTACCTAGTTTCATAACCAGATGAAACTAATCGGGTAAAAAACCAGATCGTTTTCCCTTTTCAGTTCCACTCCGTAGTCGGAATAGGCATATAGCTATAATTGGAGTTTCCTCCGAATTTAGACCACATTTTTATTTTTGAAACTGGATTGACAACCTGGGCCGGAAATGGAAAAAGTTTGGAAACGGAATAGGCCTTTCATTTCAAGTCCGAGTTGTGGGTAAGGAATTGAAATACAATAATGTTTAATGTACCCCTTTATACCCACCTTATACCCATCATTTTTGTGAATATTTTTTTGTCTGTGAATCCAGTCCACACACAAAATATGTGTTATTTTGTCTGTGTAAATTTTGAAATTTTGAATAAACAAAAATTGTCTCTGAACGGAACTCATAGACAAAAAACCCTTCACAAATATGGGTGTATAAAATTGGGTGTAAGAGTGCGTACAAAGATCATTTTTTATCGAAATATATCGTCACTCCCTTTTTGGACCCGGTTGTGGTTGGTCGATCTTTGTTATGTCGACTCCTACTTCACTCACTCTTTTCTATCTGATGGAATTGGGAAATAGGAAATACTCCCTCCGTCCCGAAAAGGTTGGCCAAAGTTGACTTTCACGTGGATTAATAAAGTAAAAACTGTATGGTTCAAATTTGTGCAGAGGAGAGAGAATTAATTTTAGCCACATATTCCTTACTTTAAATGGAAATGACAAATCTTTTTGGGACATTCAAAAAAGAAAATTTGGCCAACCTTTTTCGGGACGGAGGGAGTATTAAAGAAAGAATAACGGAAGAGAATATTGTCATCATTAATTAATGGAAATGCAATTTGTAAACGTCATTTTATACGTTGGCTAACTTGGACAAACAATTGTTTTCATTTTGTGAAGAAAATCATTTTTCAAGGCGACATTGTGTTACGGGAAAAAAAATGTCTATGTGAAAAATATTCTCTTCACAAAATGAAAAATTGTTATACACAAACAATTTACCGACATGTGAAATGTCGTGTACAACTAGCATCTACACGAATGTACCATACCGTGATTTGTTTTTTGTGGTGTTATGGTGTCAGGTTTTTGTTTAAGGAGAAATATCTTTAAATCTTGTTTTTTTAATATAAAAGAACGACTTTTATAATAATATCGAGAAAACACACAAGACAACCTTCGATTTGTTATTATAGATCTGATTGTTAGCCCTAACGTTTATCATAATTATTAATGCAACCTTGCATTTTCAAAAATCAATTAGTTACCCATTGAGTTTGGATCATTCTCATTATTTTCTCCCTCACGTTAATATTTGTTAAATAAAGTTCAATTTAACTCTTAAATTCAATGAAAATTGTCTATAAAATTAGTTTTTAAAGTAAAAAACAAATTATTGTCGTAATTATAAGTCATTTTTGTTGATTGTTATTTTTCTACTCATCTACTTCATCGTGGAATAAATATGATTGAGAGTAATTAGAGAAAATATTCACGAGTAAGATATAAAGTATCATGAGTTTTAGTATTTTTATTTTAAAACACTAAATACGTATCATTTAATCTTATAAAATTAATAAACTGTTTACTGTAAAATAACATTTGTGAAAATAAAATCATCACAAATTAGTAACACAGTTGATAAAAAAAGTTGAATAAATCAAAATCGATGATACTAGGTCTTATATCGACACATTCTCTCTTTTAAGTCTCTTATTGATGCTAGATCTATCTTTTATGTCAAGAAATGATAAAATTCACTTTTTCTTAGCATTTATTCTTTGCTACACGTGAAAGAAGTGCCTAAAATTTTGATAACACTTTTTTAAACAACTTTCTTTGAAGTATCACATGAATATTACTTGAAGTATCATGTTGTTCCTTGAACCACTATAAAAACCCCGGTGTCATTTACTTTACGCTTTTACTATCTGCACTTAAGTTTCTAACTGATTAACTCAAAAAGTTGGACTATGTGTTCAGCAGATCTTCTTTAAGAGTTAACAGAAAGACATTTCCCTTGGTGTTTTTCTGAGGCTACCCGGACAGAACCCCTATCCGCTGCCAGGTCCAGTTCTGTCAACAGAACTCGACCTTCTCTGTCACCTATCCAGACCTTCTCTGCTGAGTCACTTGTGACTTTGAGAAAAGTTTTAAAAATCCTGAACAGTCTATTCCCCCCCCCCCCCCCCCCCCCCTAGACTGTTCTTAGTACAATCGGGACCAACAGTAATACTTGAGATTTAATTTAAGAGAATTAATAGTACCACTCATACCAACAACGGAGCTCATCAACTAACAACTCTAAAGTTAAGTATACTTGCACGGGAGTAGTCTTGGGATAGGTGACCTCTTGTGAAGTGTCTCAGGGCTCGTGATGGTTTGTGAGGACAATAATAGAGGTATGGAGTAACTACATCATGATGGAGTATTATACTGAAAAATAATTTTATAAACAACTTTCATTAAATTTAAGAGTTATATTTAATTCAATTTAAAAAATAGTAACGTGAGGGGGCATATAATGAGAATGATCAAAAACTCAGGAAGTGACTAATTGCTTTTTGAAAATGCAAGGTTGCAATAATAATCATGACACAATCTCAGGGGTTAATAATAATTATATTTTACTACATTAAATTATAATTTTATTAATTAAATGAAGAAAAAATTATATGCAAAATAATTAAAATAATCTCCTATAGTAACTTCAGCTAATATAGCTACAAAAATAATTTCAATTTCATATTTTTTATTTTGACACAATTTAATGCGCGAAATAAAAAATTATGTTGTTGACTAGTAAACAAGTCTGGGAAAAAGTTCATAAATACATAACGTGTGCAACGTACGTGTTAATCACATGTAGTTGACTGGTAAAGGTAATTAAATTTAGGGAGGCTTGGGAGGGTAGATTGTCTTAATTTCATGACGGCAGATGCGAAAAGAAGTCAAATTAATTTGTACTACCTCCGTCTCGCAGAGAAGTTCTCACTTTCTTTTTATGGATGTTCCAAAAAGAAGTTTTCATTTTCTATAAACGGAAACCACTTTTAACCAAAAAGTCACAACTATCCTTACTTTTTACCCTCTTTTTGTTTGATTTGACATAAAATAAGGTATACTTGGAAAGTCAAAACAACACTTTACCTTACATAAATATGTGTGTAAGTCAAATTAGGAACTTCTTTGCAGGACGGGAGTATTATTTTTTACTGTGGCAGTAAAAAGTAACGTGGCTGGCCAAGAGCAAAGTACTCCGTACAATTTTTTCCGAACTTGAGACGAAGTAGTATAAAGACAGAAATGAGGGGGCAATTAGGCAATATGCAAACACTGTTACAGGCCTCAGAATCTGCGGACCCATGCGGTGAAAAAGCCATCCTTGAGCTTTTCATCCCAAAAAATGCTCCAACCCAAAGTATTGGGCTGGGAATTAGATGGGATATTGACTCTAGAAAGAAGGAAGATGCGGCTGGGAATAGGAGTGTTCACCGGTCCAAAATCGGACCGGATCGAACCGGAACCGATTAGGACCGGAACCAAAATCTTAAATTTATGAGAATCGAAGACCGAACCTATTACTAACGGGTCCAGACCGACCCGGACCGGTCAAATTAGATGGGATATTGACTCTGGAAAGAAGGAAGATGCGGCTGGGGTCTGGGAAAAGTGTTGACGGCGTGCGGCATGTGCAAAAATAAGTGGGCTCATTTAAAATAAAATACCCCAATTATATTTAAAATGTAATAATTTTTCTATTTGTAATTTAATGTTTACAAAAAATATATCAAAATTCACAACTTTTAATTATCTTTCATATGACATCAATATTGATTGTATAAAATTAAAATAAAAATTTAACTTTTAACTGTTGGAGATTTTCAGATTCAAAGTGTTTCTTAAATAATCTCAAGTGCTAAAATTAATATCTCATGACTAAAATATTTCTCTTTTTATATTATCGTAATCAATATTATGTGTCTTTCTTGTATTTTATTGCTAGTATTTAAATTAGACAAGTTGTGTTTCAATTTATTCATCATCATATTTAACAAGTACAAACTATTAAAATTAAAACATAATTACATATTTTGATGGGAAACTGCAATTTATTTGAAATTTATAAGCTCAAGCGTGCATATTATAATACTATGAACAAAATTATTTTTTTACATCGAAGTGTTTGAATTTTTAAATGATAATTATTGGTAAAAAACAAATTGTCACATAATTGATGTGTGATAATAAAAGTAAGGATTTATACATTTATTTTAAAAAAACTGTGTTGAGTGAATATATTGACGGTGCTGGGTTGCAGAGAAAAAATGATTGACTGAGTGAATACGTATAAAATGCTGTCTAATTTGATTTATTGACGGAGTTGAGTTGTGGTTAGCCTTGCACCATCCGATGACAGTGGAAGCGACGAGGACGATCTCGAGATCGGCTAAGGGGTGGAGCCCAAGATCTTTGGCCGTTGAATTTTTTATCGAGCCGTCCGGAAGAGCCAGACACCTTGCCTTGCTTTAAAACAAGGCAGAGGCTCCGGATCCACATGCCCCACCGCGAAACGCTTCTCGTAAGCATCAGGCGTTTAACGTTGAACCTGCCCCACCCCCTCTCTCATCAGAGGAAATTACCAAAATATGAGAGTTTGGCGTCTGCCAAGCCAAAAAACGGGAGTCGGATTCCGGAATTCCGACTGGAGGGAGGTTGCGAAAAGAGGAACGGGAAAAATACAAAAAACACCAAGTCGGAATTGGGGAATCCGACTAGGGGATTTGCGTTTTTTTTATCTTTTGTATACATGTTTAATTTATGTTCAAGTTTTTTACCAAATAAAGCCAACTTCCCTGTCGGAACTCCCTAATCCGACCAGGGTTAAAATTTTAAAAAAATCGCTTTAAAATGTATATAAATAGATCAATTCCACACATAAAAAATCATTCTTCAATCGAGGTAAAAAAATATTTATTGCTGGTGATCAAACTTCCTGTTGGTCCAAAATAGGACGCTCGTAGGCTTTTAGAAAAGCTACGTACGACACTCAAGCAGGAATTAGGAAAGTAATACGAGAATGGAAAGTTGCTAACAGAATTTG